GAGGGTGACTGGTTTGTTAATGGGGTCAGGAGGGTGACTGGTTTGTTAATGGGGTCAGGAGGGTGACTGGTTTGTTAATGGGGTCAGGTGGGTGACTGGTTTGTTAATGGGGTCAGGAGGGTGACTGGTTTGTTTCACAATCTTCCTGTTAAAATCCTTATGCCTTCCGTTTTATGATGAGGAAGGAAAAATTGAATTTACTGATATTCTTTTCATTTACAAAAATTGTATGAATTGTAGCTTGAATTGATTTACAATGATTTCAGTTTATAAGTACTTTTATCTTTTGAATAAATCAATTGCCCTTATTATCCAAATAAGAAAAAGAATAATCGATTAATGTCTACATTCTAGGGTTGTATGGCATGTCTATATTTCTAATTGATTTGTTTAAAAAAAAAATAACTTTTACAGATTTCTCTCCAAAACACTTTACAGCGCTGTGAAAGAAAATACTGTCGTAAATACTACCTTTTAGAAGATAAGGATAAGTGAATTTGTTTTCAGAATTTTACGGAACATTTGTCATCTCCATGTTTCCTCACGAAATGTCTTTTCAGGTGGCATGCCTTAGATGCAACATATTCACATTCGGAACAAGGATGTTTCACTCCTTCATGAATGTTTTCTATGTGTGTTTTTAGATCTCCTTTCTGAGTTGCGGCATATTCACACTTAGAACATGGATATTTTACTCCTTCATGTTTACTTTTAATATGAACCTTCAGAGTATTTGCGAGAGACGCAACATAATCACATTGCTGACAGGGATATCTCACTTGTTTGTGCTTACTTTCTATGTGAAACTTTAGGTTATTTGCTGTAGTTGCAGAATAATCACATTCAGAACAAGGATATCTCACTCCTTCATGTATACGTTTTACATGTCGCCAAAGGTTCTTTACTGTTGTTGCAATATACTCACAATCAGAGCAGGGATATCTAACTCCTTCGTGCTTATCTTTAATATGTGATTTCAGATCTCCTTTCTGAGATGCAGTATACTGACATTGAGAACATGGATATCTAACTCCTTCATGTTTATTTCTGACATGAATAATCAGCGCACCTGCTTGTGTTGCAAAATATTCACATTCAGAACAAGGATATTTTACTCCCTCATGTTTACTTTTAACATGAATTCTAAGAGAACTAGCGGTAGTCGCAGAAAACTCACACTCAGAGCATGGATGTCTTATACCGCGGTGTATGCTATCAATATGAATCTCCAAGTGATTTCCTCGTGTTGCAACATAATCACACTCATTACAAGGATATCTTCTTTTAGTCGACTTCATTCTCTTTGGTTCAGATTGTAGTGGATCAAATCCATCATCCATATTTTCTCCTGAATAAATAAAATAAATAAAAGTCCTCTATCAATCCAGGAAAAGGTTGGGGTAAAACCTGACTCACCGCACTACTTTCAAAGAAAGTAGCTGGTTGTCACTGAATAGTTATCTTTTAGTTAAAGGGAGTGACCGGCTATGTAATGTAGTTGAACTGAGTATGCAGTGTTGTGGAAAACTTCTTTCGGATTCATTTGGGACGTATTAAACTTTTTAAAGATCTTTAAATCCTGAGTTTGAGCGCAAATTCGACGTTCAAAACTCCTACTTTGGGGGTGGATACGTTTTCAGAATTATTTTTTTTTGAATTATTAAAAAACGACAACCAAAAATAAAGTATAATAATTATACAGTAATCTAATTAAATGGTTAGGAACATATTTCTCAAAAGAAATTTTTCAATAAATCAATGCTAAAATCAATTATTTTGTTTTCATTATTTTATTAAATTTCTTATTTTCTTTGAATTTATTCGCAGATTTCTTCAAATTCTTCAAATGACGTCTTTTCAATAATAATTCTAGAAAATCAGGAGAAAATCTTTGTAAATAATGAGAAACCAGAATTTCACAGGGAACAGATGAAAACTTTGTTTTTGCAAATATTACCCCTGATATTATAAATGATGCTCTTAAAAAACTAAAAAGTAAAAACAGTTCTGGACCAGACAAAATTTCCACAAATTTGCTAAAGTCTATCATACNATTAGATATGTTTTAATATGCTTTGATATTTGTTGTGTACATGTCTGAAAATTACTTTAAACTCTAGTTATTCGAATTTATGTATAAACTATTTTGCATATGATAAATTCGCACCCTGATCTCTAATCGTTCTCCTTAAATCTATTTAATTGAAATATTTTGTTATTATTACTAAAATTAGGTGGAAAAAATAATCAAAACAACCAAGAGCTATTTTCCACCTAATTGCTTTATACTTGTACTGTTAATATAATCATCAATTTTGTGATTGTAAACTCTATCTGTATACAGTGAGATACATTTATTTTAGCAATAAACTTTATCTTATCTTATCTTATCTTATCTAATGAGAAAATAGAAACTAATAATTGAACAAGATTACTTACTTTCGATGACAACAATAATTTTTATTTTCTCAACATGTTCCTATACCTTTTTACATTTTATGTCGTCGTTATTTTATAATTAAAAAGAACTTATTCTGAAAACGTATCCACCAAAGTAGAAGTTTTGAACGTCGAATTTGCGCTCAAACTCATGATTTTGACATTTTTAATAAAAATCGTTAATATAAACTCCAGTAAAATGCATTCCACTCCGTACAAATACAAATGTTTTAGAACAAGCATAAATATTTTATAAATATCTCTATCAATATTTCATCGAAAAATAATTTTAACCCACTCCACCCTAAACTATAATTATGTATTTTACTTTTTGTTTGTCTATTTTCCATCTTGATGTCCTCTCCCTGTACATAAACTGTACAAGTATCTTCTAGAGTAGAACATGAAGGAATTTCTTCCTTGATGGAAACCATTTGTTTTTCTTCTAATTTGATTCCATGTGTTGTATCTTCAGCTTTACCATCTAAAACTGAGGTTTAAGGAACTGTAGAGTGTAGACGTAAATCGAGTGACCCTGCATTTAGCAAGTCACTTTTGTAGTTTACCCATTACCCACATTTGAAAATAATAGGTTTTAAAACTACAAACATGTACATATATAATTCATACTTTCTCGGACAAAATGTACCATTGTGAATTGAGCTTTGCCAGTTTTAAATGGAGGGTCACTTGAAATTACGCCTTTAAATAATTCCTTTCAAGTATAAATTAGTAATCAAAATTAACGTGGAAATTTGTTAAACACTACTACTGTAAATGCTAACAGATTATCAGTACTATCGTGTTTAAAATATCATGTAGGAAAAACATTTTATTGATTGACAAAATATTTATGTTTATTAACTTCACCTGTATTTTCAGTATTTTCCAATTTAACATTTTCATCCCCAGCAGTTGCTTCTTCTAAAATAGAAAATGGACAAATTTCTTCTTGTTTTATCTCTATCTCTTCCATAATTATTTCTACTTTTTTATCTTCCATCTGAAATATAAGAATATGCTATTTAGATGTGATATTAACTAGTTCTATATCTAAGAGTATCAAGATAGAAAACTGGTATATCTTGTTACCGATGCTGCTAAATTTCGTTAATGAAAGAGAAATATGATAATATCTATATAATAATACAAGACATTCGTGTATATATATATGTTGCGTTTAGCCGGCCAAACGGCTGGACCGATTGGGTTGATTTTTTTGTGGATACTCATGGGTGGCAGAGGATGTTATAGGCTAAAAAAATTCGAAATTTTTTTTTCTGTATTTGTTTTAAAATATTTTTTTCAAATTTTTTTCCCACGGGCAATGCCGGGCCCTTAAGTGTGTTTCTAATAAAATTAAATTAGTGGACATATTTTAATACATTAATTGTATATGCTCTACAAATGTTTACTTTTCGAGTGTCTGTTCAAACTTCTGCTAGTAGTTGCGACATAATCACACTTAGAACAAGGATATTTTACTCCTTTATGTTTACTGTCAACATGGACCTTTAGATAACTTGCTGCGGTTGAAGAAAACCCACATTCAGAACACAGATATTTCACTCCATCATGCTTACGTTCAACATGTCTTCTAAGATCACGTTCATTAGTTGCAGCATGCTCACATTTAGAACAGGGATATCTAACTCCTTCATGTTTATTATTAACGTGCACTTTAAGATGACTTGATGTATTTCCAATAAAATCACATTTAGAGCAAGGAAATCCGAGTCCCTCATGTTTACTTTTAACGTGTATCTTCAGGGCACCTGATTGAGATGCAGAAAAATCACACTGAGTGCATGGATAACTAAATCCTTCATGTTTACTTTTTACATGATGCTTTAGATTTCCTGCTGTTGTAGAAGTATACTCACAATGAAAACACGGATATCTGATTCCTCTATGTATACTTTCAATGTGAACCTTTAAATAGCTTCCTTGAGTGGCTACAAAATCACATTCAGAACATGGAAATCTCACTCCAATATGTACATTTTCAACATGAATCCTTAAATTTCCTGCTGAAGTTGCAGCATATTCACAAGAAGAGCAAGGATACCTTATTCCTTCATGCTCATTTTCAACATGTTGCTTCAGATAAACTTCTGTAGTTGTAACATAATCACATTCAGAGCATGGATGTCTAATTCCTTCATGTTTATTTTTAATGTGTATCTTTAGATGAGCTGCTGAAGTGGCGGAATACTTACATTTAGAACATGGATATCTTACTCCTTTGTGTTTACTTTCAACATGCATTCTTAGGAGACTTGGTCGAGTTGCAACATACTCACAATCATCACAAGGGTGCTCCTTTCTTCTTCTCTGGTTTCTTTTTGGTTTAGACCACGGAGGATCAAATCTCTGCTCCAGGCTTTCTCCTGAATAGTTACACATAGAATATTATGATTGGACTTAAAAATTTGAATATCAGGTTTCAAAATTAGATGTTGTAATATTTAAAATATGGTTGCGCTCCCTCCATCGTTAAAACCCTCTATTTCCTTCTCCGAGTCAGAGAAATCTATGAGAGTCGGAGACTAATCAGTACACTACGGGATCCCATAAAGAAAACATGTTTAAGCTTAGCTCCACTGTTCCTAATCAGGGCCTGGGGACTTAAACTTCATGGACAGCTAACAGACAGTCAATAGACAACTAACTGGTAGTTTACCAACTTACTCAACAGAGGTTGGACAGCCTCATTCTCATCATCTACTCTAGATACCAGAGTACCAGAGACTCTTCCGATCTACAGTTAGTTCAACTACCCTAGATACTCACAACCAGAGTATCAGAGACTCTTCTGATTTACAGCTAATTCAACTACTCTAGATACTCTCAACCAGAGTATCAGAGACTCTTCTGATATACAGCTAGTTCAACTACTCTAAATACTCGAGCTGAGCCTAATTAGAGGTCCACTGGAGGAATAGAGTAATCTATGGATAAAGAGATGTCGGATAAGACTCTAGATGCTCGAGCTGGTCTTAATGAGAGGTCCACTGGAGAAATAGAGCATTTGGTAAACCTAAGACAACTGAGTCCAAACCCAGTACAGCCGAACGGAACCAATGCTCCAGGTGTTTCTAAAGGTAGAGATGCACTGGAGATGCAGACAGATCAGAATCCACAGACGGAGAGGAACTAAACCCTCTGTTTAATGCATCTAGAGCTGCTCCACACCCTACAGAGAGCTCTACTCGAATCTCAGACCTTATTGGTGATATACAACAGAAAGATGATCAGTACAGATCTATGACTCTGGGAGAAGTGATCTTAAGGATTTATGAAGATGGGATATCTACCGTACCCCAGATATGATCAAGTTATCGGGAGGCTTATGGAGCACTGGAGATCCTCGAGGAAGCTGCTCTTTACGGACTGCTCCAATACAGGCCGCTGTGGAAATAAAACCTAGATCCAGAACTAGAGGAACTCCTGAGGGACTCCAGAACCATGGACTCCTCCAACACAACCTCAACCACCAGATTACCCTTATCTCTTTGGAGTAGTTCGAACAGCTGAACAGTTACTCTATGCAGCAGGAAAAGATAAGAAGAGATTGAGAGATGCTCTACCAGAGATATTAGAAGATATATTACCTTGGCTCAAAGATAATATCTCCCCTTCTGAAGCATCCACTCCTAGAAGTCCTGAACCTGTATCTGAGGAGATGCAAGGAACAGAGGAAGCTGTTCAGAGATCACCTAATTTGGAGCAGCTACAAGAAGCTCTACAATATTAGGAATCTTATGAAGAGCAGCTAAATGAGAACCATGGTCCCAGGGAAGCTTCCCTACCCAATGCAGAACGAAATGGAGATCTACATGAAAGAAAAAGTCTGAGGATAGCTTACAGGAAATAGCTCAGAACCAGAAGTAACATTGAAACCATTGAGGAGCAGCTCCTAGCTCGGGATATTCTCTGGATGGTTTTGCTATCTCTAGACCGCTTTGAACCACAGGCTTGACTATCAGAAGCAGCAGCTGAACTAAATAGACTTAAGGAGATCATAGTTGTACAGAGGATAGAAATAATGCAGCTTGCTGAACGATGGGTTTCAAACGTAATGCAATGAGACAGGAATACACGTTAACAGATGTATTTGTATTTTGTATAAATAAAATATGAACTGATAAATCCCATTCATTTATACTCTGAGAGATAGGCATTAAACTTTATGAATAACTATGATTGGATAGGTTATGAAACTGGTACTGGGATCGAAAATGAAGCCTTTGCATTAACCCATAACAGAGGAGGGGACAATGGTTGAACTTGATATCCTAGGATTTACGTCTGGAATTTGATTACATTAAGTGTACAGTTTATGTACAGGGAGAGTACAACAGGGGAAGTGTACACCTACCTTCCATCTTGAAGTACTCTTCATGTATATAAACTGTACACCTACCTTTCATCTTGATGTCCTCTCCCTGTACATAAACTGTACATGTATCTTCTAAAGTAGAACATGGAAGAACTTCTACTTTGATGGAACCTGCTTCTTTTTCAATCTTCAATTCTTCTAAATGTATTTAATGTTCAAAACTTTCAGAGATCTCATATGAAATTGAAGTAATATTAATTCTTGAAATTATTAATTAGAAATCATAATTTGGAAGAAAAACTCTAAAGCGTAAAATTTAAGAATTTAAATTTTACATTTTGTAGGTAAAAATGATACAATGAAGTAATTGCACAAAACAAGCAAGAGTGTAAACTGTCTTATGTTCTTATATTTTACCTTTTATTTCAGCATTTTCCATTTTAACATTATCTTCCTTCATATCCCGAATACACGCTTCCATTAAATGAGGGGGTTGACAAATATCGTCTTCTTTTATTTCTTTTTCTTCCATAATAATTTCTACTTTTATACTTATAATCTGAAATATTAAAATATGTTAATTTGAAGAAATCCTTAATTTCTCTGATGTTTACTTTGGCAGTGTCTTTTCAGACATACTTTTAAAGATGCAACATATTTACAATCAGAACAAGGATAATTCACTCCTTTATGTTTACCATCCACATGGATTTTCAGATAACTTGATGTAGTAGCAACAAACCCACAATCAGAACAAAGATATCTAACCCCTTCATGCTTTGTTTCAACATGTCTTCTAAGATCACGTTTAATACTTGCAGCATAATCACATTTAGAACATGCATATTTCACTGCTAGTCCTTCATGCTTATTCTTTAAGTGCACTTTAAGATGACTTGATGTAGTTCCAGTAAATTCACATTTAGAGCAAGAAAATCTGACTCCTTCATGTTTATTTTTAACGTGTGTCTTCAAGGCACCTGGTGAAGAGACAGATAGTTCACACTGAGTACATGGATATTTAATTTTTTCTCGTACATGTTTATATTTAACATGTATCTGCAGACTACTTGCACTAGTTGCAGCATACTCACAATAAGAACAGGGATGTCTTACTCCATCATGTACATTTTCAACATGAATCTTCAATTTGCAAGCTTGAGTGGCAACAAACTTACATTTAGAACAATGATATCGAATTCCAATATGTTTACTCTCAAAATGTTTTCTTAAATTTCCTGCTAAAGTTGCAGCATATTCACAACGAGGGCAAGGAAATCTCAATACTCCATTAATTTTAACAGGTTTCGTCTGATAAATTTCTTCAAGTGCGTCGAAGTCAAATTTAGGGCAGCTGATTCTCCTTGATTCTGATTGCAAAGGATCAAAACCGAGATCCAAGTTTTCTTCTGAAAGATGAATATAAATATATATATAAATACATATATTTTGCTTGTCCGTCTGTCTGTTTGTTTGTTTGTTTGAAAATGTCAAATTGCTGAACTGATCTGGCCCAAATTGTTTGTGGCAACTCACATGACCCCAACAATTCTCCCTGGAAAAAATGTCAGCATTTACTATTTTTGAAAATGCACCAATTTTAATCAGGCTGATTTTAGTTATCTAAGAAATAGAAAATAAACAAAATTGGAAATGACGTCTATCGTCTATATGAAATCAATTTTAACTTGCAAAACCCCACACAAAAGAGAAATTGTCACATGTTAAATTAGATGTCAAAGACCTCAGATACAAAATATTCTTCTTATCCATATAGATAACCAAAATTTGAGGCTACATGCGAATTTTCAAAGCTTAACTCAGCAAAATTTGTTGTCTTAACAAGTTCAATCGTCATGTTTCCCTTTTTATTGCTTTCAATTAAAAAACGAATAAAAAACTACATTAATAAACTACATTGCACAATTTGTTTTCTAGGAAAACCTTACTGACCACGGTAGGTAACCAATTTATACTTGTTCGCTATAAACTGTGCGCAGATTTTTTGAAATGTTTTGACTTTTTTGGACATTGGACTAACAAACAGACAAACCAGCTTTATAAAGATAGGGTCAGTAAAAAAACTTGCATTGTTTTAATAACATTATACAAATTGTGCATAATTTATGTAAAGGTTAAAACTATCAAAATCTAGTGAACGGAGAAAAAATTCCGTGAAGTTTTTTTCTTAAAAACTCAAATCTTTTTTGTTTAAATTAGCCGAAAATATTTTAAGTTCTATGAAAATCTGTTGATAATAAAGAGTTATTACAAAAAAATCGCGATAAATTAATAATACAAGTCTGTACCAAATTTAACAAAAAAAACCATCAAAAAACGTATTCACTATTTACAAATTCTGAAAATTTTAATTAATTTGATTTAAAATTATGATATAATTCAAATAGTAAATCCTATTTGCCTCCTTTATAATATTTGGTAAGATTTGGTGCAGATTTGGACTCATTTTTTTCTGGCTTTTTTGTTGACTCCTTTTTAATAAAACGTTGGTATCCAATTAAATAACATGCTCTACTAAATTTTTGAAAACATTTTTTTATTAAGTGGCAAGTGCACTAAATTAAAATATTTACAACTTATAAAATGCACCATCAATTCTGCAAAATAATGTTGGTGTAGTGTAAAGCAACAACACTCATACCAAACACTCATAAACTGTGCACCTACCTTCCTTCTTGATGTACTCTCCTTGTACATAAACTGTGTATCTACCTTCCATCTTGATGTTCCTCTCCCTGTACATAAACTGTACCCCTAACTTCCATCTTGGTGTGTTCTCCCTGTACATAACTCATACATCTACCTTTTATCTTGATGTCCTCTCCCTGTACATAAACTGTACACCTACCTTCCCTCATGATGTATTCTCCCTGTGCATAACCTATACATCTACCTTTCATCTTAATGTCCTCTCCCTGTACATAACCTGTACACCTACCTTCCCTCATGATGTATTCTCCCTGTACATAAACTTAACTGTACACCTACCTTCCATCTTGATATCCCCTCCCTGTACATAAACTGTACACCTACCTTTCATATTGATGTCCCTTGCTTGTACATAAACTGTACACCTTCCTTCCATCTTGGTGTGTTCTCCCTGTACATAAACTGTACACCTACCTTCCATCTTGATATCCCCCCCTGTACATAAACTGTACATCTACCTTTCATATTGATGTCCCCTGCTTGTACATAAACTGTACATCACCTTCCATCTTGGTGTGTTCTCCCTGTACATTAACTGTACACCTACCTTTCATCTTGATGTCCTCTCCCTGTACATAAACTGTACAAGTATCTTGTAAAGAAGAACATGAAGGAGTTCCTTTCTTGATGGAAATAGTTTTAATTTCTTTGCTCTTCTCAAATTCTTTTAGTTGTCTTTCAGGTGTTCTATTTTTAAAATTCCCGCCTGAAACTGTAATCTCATTATTTACTTCAGAATATTAAGATTTTTGTAGTAGAAACTTTGGTCACCATACAGGGGCAAATATAGAACCTTACTCGGGATCAGCCAACTGAGAATTTTCTCTTAATTTTTCGTAGCTCTTCCTCAAAGCTTTATGGGGGAGCAAATTTCCATGGGTGAGCCACTATTCCATGGCTCACCCCCGTATCCAACCCTGGTCTTATATATAGAAGAAAAACAAAAGAAACGCAATTTCAACATGGCATTGCTTTGAGAAAATGAATACATATTTTAAAGAGAAATATTGTTTACAAAACTTTCAATCAACCGAAAATTTTATTCCTCTTTTTTTCTAGGGGGGGGGATTATTTTTACCACAATATGTATACCTAAAAAATAACACAAATGGGGGCGCAGACTTTACCTAAAATTGGTGTATTTTTCCTTTCAACATCGCCAAGATGCGATTCCTTTAAACTGTAGGAAGGACAAAACTCGTCATTTATCAAAAGTTCTTCATTTCTATTCTCAGCCATTCTATCTGAAATATAGAAGCATGTTTAAAGAAAGGTTTGATAAATAATCTAATTCAAGAAGATCTGGCCTAATTATGTAAAACACAGAACAACTCCCTGCTTAATTATTTGACAAAAAATAAGATTAACTTACTTCCGTTCACTTTCTAAAGAGTGAGTTTGCAAATTTCTAATATCAAATCTATCGAGATGATATCTTAAGTGTAAAACAGCGCTCATCTACCATGCTTGGTATCGCTGTTCAAAATGACGACTTTACGAAATAATTCATCTGCGCAAAAATTCAGAAAAATACTTGACTTATTCATTTTTTGGTCATGATATCTCACGTATTATGTTTAATTTCAAGATATAAGTTTCAAAGCACCTTTTGTAGTTGCTGCATACTCACATTCAGAGTACGGAAATCACACTACTTCCTACTTACTTTGATCTGGTCTCTTCAGACTCTTTGCTGAAGTTGCAACATTATCACATTTAGGGCATAGATATCTTATTCCTTGGTGCTTATTTTTAATATGAATCGTCAGAAATCCTACTGTAGTTGCAGCATAATCACAGTGACAACAGGAATATCTCAAATGTGCCCACTTTTTAATATGTCTTTTAACGAGACCCTGCTGAAGTTGCAACATCTGAAGCTGATTAATCTGCAAACCTCGTTTTTTACAGTGCTCAGGATCCGGATCCACATAAATATGCGGATCCTCGGATCCGGTTCCAAGGGGTTAAAATATCAACCAAAAACAGCAAAAAAAAAATTTTAATTCTAAAACCAAAATCTGAACTTTTGAAAAAAAGAGAGTTTATAAAAATTTCCTCATTTCTGAATGGTTCATCAAGTTTTAGGACAAAAATATGCTAAAAAAATAGAACAAAAAATTTGAAAATTATTTTTTGTTAAAAAGGTTCAGTAAATCTTATAGAAATGACCTGGATCCGGATCCGGATCCATTTTTTTCCAGTGCGGATCCAAAATTAAATGGATCCTAAGCACTGGTTTTTTGAACATTAAAGAATTTCAGGAATTTTCTTCCATCTTTTTTTTGGCAGATTTGCTTAAAAAATAACAAATGATATCTTTTAGACTGGCAATAAACCAACAAACAGACAAGCCTAATTTAATATAAAATAATCTAAGATCGGAACGTTTGTGTGGATAATGGATATCGTTAATTAAGAACGCTTAATGGGGGCCCTTTTAAGTTTATCAATTATTGATTTTTTAATTAAAATTAGGTTAGGGATAGTCAATTTTATTAATCCCTCCAGGGCATGACCATCATAGATATCGAAGAGGAATTAAATCAATCCGTTGATCCGCTGAAGATGAAGAGTTTCACAAAACAGAAGTTGTGTCTAAATCTATGTGGTATTAGGAACTTCTATTTACATAAACAGAAGTTGTGTCTAAATCTACGTGGTATTAGGAACTTCTATGTACATAAACAGAAGTTGTGTCTAAATCTATGTGGTATTAGGAACTTCTATGTACATAAACAGAAGTTGTGTCTAAATCTACGTGGTATTAGGAACTTCTATGTACATAAACAGAATCTATGTGGTATTAGGAACTTCTATGTACATAAACGGGAAAAAAATAGGGGAATGAAATTTTCAGCAATTCTATTGAAATTTCACTTTGAAAAATAGATTTAAATGGATTTCATTCCTTCATCAAGTTTTGATATCATATATAATACCCAACATTTTTTTCACCTTTTTCATCTTTACATCTTCTTTATGATCATCAACTGTCATGTGTCACCTATTTCTAAACTAGAAAATGAACAAATTTCTTCTTAAACAGAAGAAGACTCTAATTTAAATTCTACTTTCATTTCTTCTTTCAAATTTGCTGCCATTGTATCTGAAATATAATAGAACACTGTTATTTTGGTTCGCAATGTTATAAAGATTTTGGACAGAAATTTTCTCTTTATCGAGAAGGTTCAAGCCTTTTCAGAATTCATTTTGTCCCGAGCTTTATAGCACGTCGTGCCAAAATAATAGTGTTATAGGTAATTTTTTGAAGCGTTTGTGTACTTGTCTTATTTCACTGGCTATTCCTTGATCAAATAAGCTTGGAGACAAAGCGGAAGTCAAAATATAAAGTTGATTTAAATTATATTTTCATTTCAATTGAAAAAAATATTTTGGAAATATCCTAAATTTTTTTGAGAAAATCCAGTACAATTAGCTGTACCAATGTACAGCTAATTTAATTTTATAGCACGATGATCACTTTATAGCAGGTTCATTATGAAATTCACGATGAAGTGAGAAAGAATGATAAAGTACACACAATAGCTTCATAAAATTATTTTTCTGATTAATATTTTTAAATACAAAATTAACGATAATGGACTGTAAACTTTTTAATTTGTGAAAAACGTAAGAAATTAGAGTAAAACATCCAAGGTTTTTAAACTCTTTTTTTTGGATACATTTCTACAAGATCAAGAAACCCCAATTACAATTTTTAGCGCGTGTTAAGGGAAAAGATGAATTTTTAGTAACATATTCTTTTAAACATTATTTAGTGGGATATGAAGATCAACTTAATCAACATGAAATAATTATTTCCAACTATTTTACAGGGAAGTTCAGGGAATTTTACTTCACCAAGGGTTCCCAATACCAAAATTGTTCGAGGCTGTGATTAATCAAAGTTTTTAATTTCCCGAAAAAGTAGCTGTACACAATTTTATCGTCTTTTGAGATGTGCGATTTTTTCCCCGAAAACTTCACAGAAAGGGTGGTTATTTTACATAACTGTCCCAAGGGACGTTAAGCAACCTAACCTCCCTCTGTTGGGGAAATCATAGGTCTGTAATGTTGGTGAAAAGGCGGTAAAATTTGTATTTCAACAAAACTTTTTTAAAATCAATCATAAAATTTTATAACAGAAAAAAAACATAATATCTAAATCATTATAAATAAAATCACAATGTACAATATTAAAACGTTGGATTAAGGGAAAAAACTTTGCTTGGGTTTTATTACTCCTATACTTAAGATATCATTCAGGGTAAACCATTTCTTAAACGGACAATCACCTGCCCCCCCCCCCCCTCCTCCTAACCTCTTCAAATTAATGAGCTAAATCATGTCAAGCGAAAATGTATCAACATTTGAGTAAGTTTTCCTCTTGAACTCTTTTTTCCCCAACAAATTTCGAAAATCATTCCCCTGGTCGGAAAGGAATTCTAAATGTTTTGACCATATGGTCGTAAGTAAAAAATAATATTGTAAGAGTTAATCATAAATGCCAAAAAACGAAGTATCTACTTAATTCCACATATCATGCTACATTAAACAAATTAAACTCAAAACTATCTAAAACTTGAATTACAGTTGTAATAATACATAAACAATTTAGGACGGAGTGGACTGGAATTATCTAAATTCTACCAAAGAAAAATGTATCACAGAGTGTAACAGGAGTGTGTGTATTTGTGACCGGAATGTATAGATAAGGGTGGATTACAGATTACACAGATAAAACAAAAGGTGTTAAGAGTCCTTTCTATTTATCTATGAATAGTGAATACAGATTTCAACCCATGGAAGATGTCTATCCAGAGTAACCTACAGGGTTACCTATAAAGGATGAGATAATAGCTAGTGTTCCTTCTATTATTAATGGTTCCTATAAGTGGCGCTAGTCTTTTTGCGTTTTTTTGCCATAATAGTCAGTACATCTTTTATAGACTTTATAGCGAACTCAATCTACAAGATTTTTTCAAGACCAAATAGCAAACTCAATCTACAAGATTTTTTCAAGACCAAATAGCAAACTCAATCTCCAAGATTATGAATTTCAGGTTTCATTAAAGTCTTATACTTTGTGGGTAACCCTGTATAGTACAATGAGTAAAATAGTATAAAGTCTGCATTCAGAGTCAAGTACAATAACAAAAATTTTAAAATATTTGATATTTTGAAACCAATATTTGGATTTCAATTTTACTGATTGAAATGGAAAAACAACGTGCAAGAAATAATGATTTATAAAGATGACTGGTTGTAGAATGTAGGTAAAGTTGGGAGGAGTTTGGCAACATTATAATCATTCAAATCCGTATTTAATATGCCAATAGTAACTAACTTGATATTAAGATTAACATTAGCAAACCCGTGGGTTTGTTTCCAGTAGGTCGGGTTGCATGACATCTTAATTTTTACAGCATTTAACAGCAATTAAATCAACAAGAAATTGATCTTTACATTAAGAAGTAATTTCTGTTTATTTGTCTTTTTGTCTGTCCGATCATAACTCATGCATCCCTGGACCGACTTGCGTCATATTGTAAGGACAACCACGGAAATGTTTCTAGTTTGGATTAGCAATTTTAAATTGGGAAAAGTCCAGGCAAAGCTGGGTTCCCAAGCTAGTAGTGGAATATCTTAGAGCGGAGGAAGTAATTTTTATGAAAATATATAAAATTATCAAAGTTTGAAGTTTTCTATCTAGATTGTAGATTTTAGATTTAAGATTTTAGACCCCGGCCATTATATAATCCCTGAGAGGATTCAGGTAGAAGGAGGGTCAGCAGGTTACTCAGATGTAGCATTGTATCCTAAATAAACAAACTTGAAAACATTGTCATCGTAATTCTACCTCTTTCATTAAAACTAGCTGAAGAACCGGCGTTGCCAGTGGTAAAAAAAATTTTTGTCACCCCAAGGCTACCCATGAGTGTCCACAAAAAAATCAGCCCATTCGGTCCAGCTGTTTGGCCGGCCAGAGGAAACATATATATGAATGTCTTGTTTTATTATATAGATAAATGTTTTGGCTGAAGTTTACTCTAAGAAAATAAGGAAACAGAAAAACTTTTATGACTGAAAAGCACCAAAAAAATCTTCTCTTTACTGATTCCAAGCGCGGACTAAAAGTGCGGCCACATGTCTTACATTTAAGACCCCACCAGCTGCCAGTCTCTACGCAGGCATCCCACAGATATTATTTTTCGGAATCTACAAAATTCAAACCCCCTCACTCTGTTTTGGAATTTTACGGGGTATTGCACACAAAAGGAACCCCACTCTGCCTAACTTTTGAACCATAAATAATTTCGTTATTACGATGAAAATTAGTAGTAATACCGTTTTCACGAGACAGGACCTGTTGACCGACATGGTTACCTGGAGTCCACCTGGTAGATATCTACTTAACCACACTGCTCTATACTGTTCTATTAGTGCAAGCAACCTGAACAATCAATCAATCAATTGGTAGATATCTGATCAACCACACTGCTCTATACTGTTCTATTAGTGCAAGCAACCTGAACAATCAATCAATCAATTGGTAGATATCTGATCAACCACACTGCTCTATACTGTTCTATTAGTGCAAGCAACCTGAACAATCAATCAATCAATTGGTAGATATCTGATCAACTAGACTGCTCTATACTGTTCTATTAGTGCAAACAACCTCAACAATCAATCAATCAATCAATTGGTAGATATCTGATCAACCACACTGCTCTATACTGTTCTATTAGTGCAAGCAACCTGAACAAATGAAGAGAGCCAAAAATGGTTCTGTTCCAGGCGGACCGCCTGAATAAACTTAAATAGTCCCAGAGATGGGCTGTTCCAGGCAGACCGCCTGTTAAATGCTGAATAGCCCAGAAATGGGCTATTCGGGGCAGACCGCCCAAAAATAAGTCTCCTTCCGGGACAATGTGGGGCATTATCCATGGATACGCTCGGTGGACAGGAATGCCGGCCACAACTTCACTGAACGACGGGTTGTCATTGAATAATAATAATAATAGTGCAAACAATCCGATCAATCAATCAATCCATCGATCAAATCGGTAGATATCTCATCAAACAGACTGCTCTATACTTCTTTAATAGTTCAAGCAACCTAAACAATCATTCAATCAATCAACTGGTAGATATCTAATCAACCATACTACTCTATACTCTTCTGTTAGTGACAGGAACATTGAGACAGAACAATCAATTTATCAACCGCTTAATCAATTAATAAATCAATGAATTGATAGATATCTACTCAACTACACTGCTCAATACTGTTTGATTACTGATAGCAACCTTGGCTTGGATCAAAATTTGATCGGACACAATCATAAATTAATCCCGGATAATTCTTGTAAAATATACTTGTTTGCTATATCTGTCTTGAAGGTTGGTTGAAGGAGCTCTATCTTGTATTCTCCTGCCTGCAGGAGCCCCCTGGACAACCTGGCCGCCAGGAGTAGGAGTTCAGCTCCTAGAGTAACCTCCTGAAGAAGACCTTCAACCTCTCCTTCTCCTTCTACAACCTCCCGGCATCCTTGCAGTTTACTCAAACATCGTCTTTACAAATCATTAAACAATGAGCGTAAGGGTAATGAGTGACAAAATCATGAATAAGATTTCAATGACTTGCTTGTGTTTTTAGTTTCATAAATGCATAATGACTGAATTTTTTAAACTTTGCATTAAATATTTTGCTTTTCCTGCTTAATTTTTTTCAGAATTTTCATTGTCTTCCGTGAAATATATATATTTAAAGAATATTAAAGCAAAATATAAATTATTTCGCATGTCCTACAAGTAAACGTGATTTCTGGGCTTTTTCAAATATTATTAGATTTTTCATTAATTCTTGAAAAAGATCAAAATGTCAGAGCTTTATGGTTTGTTCCTGCTAGTTTGAATAACAGCTCCAAGCTGCTCCAACGACACCTGGAGAACAAGGGATAGATTACACATTAACTCAATTATTAAATAATTGTTTAGTTTGCAGTAGAAAATATATATTTACTTCATTATGAAACATTGTGCATTTTACTGTTCACAGTTTTGCTTTAAAATGCCATTGCTATTTCTTAAATTTGAAAACAAAACTGGGTTAATTTAAATTCGTATTGTATATGGTTGTTTGAAAACTAAATATTTGGAAATATAGGAAACTGCAAAAGAAATAATTCTGACTTAAGAAAAGATGTAACTTCACAGAAAAAAAATCTGAAGAAAAATGTTGCCTTCTCTAAATGAAGGTTCCCCGGTCTAAGGATGGATGAGAGAAGAAGAGAAGTTTGTAGTTGTTGATCAGGATAAACCTGGTCTAAAGAACACTCAGCTAGACCTAGTTCAACTACAGCAGATCCACTACCACCAGTACTATCCTAGACGAAAAAAATAAACTAAAAAGATATATATTTGAGTGACATGAAAAATTGTCATTAACTCCATTATAGCATAAAAGTAAAAATCATTCTTCAAGGCTCCGAGTTTTACCTAATCCTAATATATTTTATCAAAAAATTTCATTTAATTCTCCCGAATAATCGTCCTTAACAGCGTTAGAAATCCTATTAAATTATAATTTGACATTCGAAACATGTCGGGGTGATAATTTATTTTGAAGAAAATTTACGATTCTTTAGAAAGTTTATACAAAAATAATGATATGCTTTACTTTATTATTAAAAAAACACAACCAAAAAAGATGAAAAAGATAGCTCAATAAGAAGACAACCACCTCACACCGCCCCAGTGAGGATTACTTATGTAAAGCATATGCTTCATATTCTAATATGCTAATATTATTTTTCTTTAAATACCCTGATGAAGAAAAGGAATATTAACCTGAAATATGTGATGGCTGAGAATTTCTCCCAATACTCCTAAATTTATGGTGTCCGCAGCCTGAAATAAAAATAAAAATAAATAGTAGAATATTTAGTTAGGTTTCATGCTTTTACAATTTTACAGTTTTTGTTCTCCTGTCAGATGAACTATTGTTATGAAAAAAGTTTTTTAAAATATTTTCTTGTCAATTTCAGAAAAAAATTTTCACCTTGGTGTTCCACGCTAACCCTGCTCCTAGAACCCAGCCAGGCAAAGCTGTGGATAGATGGGTCAGCGCAGGACTTCCGGTCCAGTTAGCAATCACTAATCCCTCCCCTCCATACTCAGCAATAGCTTTAGCTGCCTAAAATATTTAAATATCAATACGCTAAAATTCCCAAATGACATGGCGAAAAGAAATAAATTTATTAGAAACACAATCACGAAGAATTTCTCTTTTTACTGGCAAATTTCAAAACTTACATTAAACTTGCATTAAAAATTAAATTTTTAAACTTTGAGGGGCCATAGTCCTTCCAAAGGGTCATGGGGGGACCTTTTGGTTCAGGAGCTGACGTTGATTTGTTACAAATTGACGAGCGAAATAAAGAATGCTAAAAAATGAACCTGAGCTATATTATGAATCATGTTCTGAGGTCTACCGATGAGACAATTCCATGCTGAAGTTCCAGGACAACAGAGTACTGGATTTCCTAGAGCCAGATTTAATGAATAGTAAGAAAAAGTGAAATGAAATAGACTAAGTTGAACCACTTCTCTTTAGCCTAACCCGTCGCGCAAGAGAAGTGGTTTAACTAAGTCAACATAGTTCAACTACTTCTTGCCATTCATTAAATATGGTCCCTGATCTACTAAGATGGTGCAAATTAGACTCAAAAGGATAATTCGCCTAACAAATATTAAGATGATAAATAATATATTGTTTGAACCTTCCTTAATATTAAAATGCAGTATAAATTGCAAAAAATAATCAGCACAAAAACATAAAATAGAATCACATTTCACATAACAAAAATTATATGTTTAATTCAAGATTTTGCATATTTAGTTGTTTATATTTTTTAATTGAAAAATCAATTTCGATCTTAATTTCCTGAAACCCATAATCGATGAGGGAGACTGAGGACGGAAAGTCCTCTACCATGTTTTCCAGGTTAAGGACGGAGTTGGAACAGAGGATGAGCTGTGTGTTGGAGGGTACGGAGAGAATGTTCCAGATCTGACCAAACACCTGGTTACAACCAATAATCCTGCACCAACCACAGTCATATCAAGGATATATATTTTGAAGATGAAAAATCCCCCTCCCCTCCTAAACAAAATTATAATTCCCCATTACCAAAGAAGCGCCAACAAACACATAAACAATGAACAGTAGAGGAAAATGGCATCAAAACAAGTAAACATTTCAGCTAGAAGGATAATTTCTCGGGGAAAGAAAATAGATCAAAGTGCTGATTTCATTTTCCCTTAAAAGTGAAGGAGAAAATATTGACTCCTCGTAGGTTTTTTTTAAGTTGCATTCATCTTATTTGCAGGTTAAACCTACTGTTCAAATTCAATCTTTTATTATTTACGTTTTGTTGAGTCCATAAAATAATAATATATGAATTTGTCGTACATAATAGGAACATGTTTAAAAATACATTGTAGGAACATGTTTAAAAATACATTGTAGGAACATGTTTAAAATACATTGTAGGAACATGTTTAAAAATACATTGAAGGAACAAGTTTAAAAATACATTGTAGGAACATGTTTAAAAATACAGATTCAATTAATTAATTAATTGTAAGTTTAATTCTTAAAACGATGATCAAATCAAAGCTTAATTTTTCTTGTGATGCAAATTTATGGCCCATTTTCTTTTTACCCAAAACAAATTCTTGGATTTTTTGCTAATTTTTTATGTTTGATATGTTGTATGATTCCTTGCAGCAGAGAATATAACTGAAGATAGACAGGGTCCCAGGCTAACTAAGTTTAGGGAGCTAAAGCAGGATACAACTCTAACCAAATTGGAATAAAATGTTTTATCTAATTATTATTATTGTTTCCCTAAAAATTGTTTATGTCCCAGGTATCAACAAATAAAACCATAAATGTCTCCAAATAAACATCCCCAATATTTTGCCTGCTTTTTATTATGAGATATTTACTTATTTATTCTAAAATAAATCCCTAATAATTATCAGATATGTTTTAGAATTTAAAATTAAAAAAACTATTAATGAAATTTCTTGCTTAAAAGAACTAGGAAGACGCTACTAATCTTCAGTTTTCTGGTTCTCACTTAAGGAAAAGCAAACTTTTACTTGTGATTTCTCTTCAAGAGACTTAGGGATTTTATGCGGCAAAATTCTACCCTTTCTCAGCTAGATGACCATTAACCACTTCCTTGTTATTCAGATGAAGGTTTAATAGGTACAGTCGTTAATCAGATTCCAGGGAAACTTGAAATTATGTCTGAAGTCCATTAAAAGAAACTTAAACATAAAATAAATATATTTTTATCCTAATTTCCTTGAGAATACTTGAGTATATTTGGGAAGTTCAATGAATGCACATGGTTGTACAATATCAAGCGCAGGAATCAACTCCATCTGACGGTCAGAACACTCACTAAACAACAAAAATAATCTTTTCAAATATTTGTGAAAAAATATAAAGAAATATGGCTATACATTAAGTCTAATAAACCTGTAAAAATAGGCCCAAAAATAGTTCAAATATGTTCCTTAAAAGATTGATCTATGACCAACATACTTTTAACAATAAATATTCTTGAAAATAATTATTATTAACATAATTATGTGGTTAATTATGTTGTCTTGTTTCATTACGTTTTAGTCAACGTTCTTTCCAAAATATTGAAGAAAAAAATATGATCAATCTGTTTAACTTGGAAAGAAATTGAATATTTGAACAAATTCTTGGCATAAAATAAAACACAGCAAATACGATCAAGATGATTTCTGGTTTGATATTTTGGGAAGAATTGCACTGTAATTGTAAGATATGTTCAAGATGTATTACCGATCTATGGATAATCGATATATTACTGAAATTTGGACGGTAGGTAATACCGATCTATGGATATATTACCGATCTATGGATAATGGATATTTACTGAAATATTTGCACGGTAGGTAATACCGATCTATTATGGATATATCACTGATCAATGAATATATTACCGATCAATGGATATATTACCGATCAATGGATATATCACTGATCTATGGATATATTACCGATCAATGGATATATCACTGATCTGTGGATATATTAGAGATCAATGGATATATTACCGATCAATGTATATATCACTGATCTATGGATATATTACCGATCAATGGATATATTACCGATCAATGGATATATTACCGATCAATGTATGTATCACTGGTCAATGTATATATCACTGATCTATGGATATATTACTGATCGATGGATATATTACCGATCAATGGATTTATTACCGATCAATGGATATATCACTAATCTATGGATATATTACCGATCAATGGATATATTACCGATCAATGGATATATTACTGATCTATGGATATATTACCGATCAATGGATATATTACCGATCAATGGATATATTACTGATCTATGGATATATTACCGATAAATGGATACATCACTGATCTATGGATATATTACCGATCAATGGATATATTACTGATCTATGGATATATTACCGATCAATGGATATATCACTGATCTATGGATATATTACCGATCAATGGATATATTACTGATCTATGGATATAATACCGATCAATGGATATATTACCGATCAATGGACATATTACCGATCAATGGATATATCACTGATCTATGGATATATTACCGATCAATGGATACATCACTGGTCTATGGATATATTACTGATCTATGGATATATTACTGATCAAAGTATATATCACTGATCTATGGATATATTACCGATCAATGAAATAATTACCGAACTATGGATATATCACTGACCTATGGATATATCACTGATCTTAAGATATATTACCGATCTATGGATATATTACCGATCAATGGATATAAGATCTCCAGGAGAATAGTTCAGCTGCCAGTCCGGAGTTGAAGAAAGCCTGTCCCCAGATTCATTTCAAAATTTTGAAAACGAGTGTCGTACGATGGGGATTTTAAAATACAATGAAATAAACTATTTTGGAGGCAGAAAATTAACAGTGCCCCTTTTTTTCTTAAAATCAAAACTCCAAAAATTGTCTGTATTATTTGAGGGAGCCTGTCCCCAGATTCATTTCAAAATTTGGAAAACGAGTGTCGCGCGATGGGGAGTTCTGGCCACAAAATTGTGAGCATTTTATTCAGGGAAACGAAAAGTGTTACACCAAATTCAAATATCTCCAAAACATCATATTTGGGGTTAAATAAATAATTTACAGTCAAATGATTGAAAATTAAAAGGTATAAAATATTTTGGAAAAAGTGTCTGTATTATTTGAGGGGAAAAATTCTGCAAAAAAATACTTGTCTCAAAAGTTTTTAAAAATGTTCCTTGAGTAAAGATAGATTTTGTTTAACTTCATGTTGGACAATATTCTAAAAAAAAACCATATTTGTCAGAAAATTAATTTAGTTGAAAATTTAAAAAAAAATCCTTTTCAATAATTTATCAAGTCTTAGAAAGTACATCGTACATGTTAAACTCTAATCAATTATGCTAACGCAGACTACTGTATTTTAAAACACATAAAAACATGCCAGTTATTTTATCAACAGCAACTTTCTTGGTTGAAATTGATAAAGCCAAAAATGAAGTATGTTTCAACGGTATTGAAAATAATTTTTTAATATAAACCGTGCACAATCGTAAAAAACCTTGTCTTTGAAAAACTAAATAAATATAATATACAATATGCGAACATTTCTCCTTGTATATATTGTAAATTTTTTTTTTAAATTAGCGGATTTTAAAAACAATTTTGTGGATTTTTTAAATTTAATGAAAATAGAATTTGTTGAAGGCTAATTTTGGAAATTACACATCCATAAACCTTCCCTGGGGTCATGTGAGGTCCCACACAAAATTTGGACTCGATCGGTTTAGCCGTCTTGGCGTCTATTGGATGTCGTAAACCCTAGATATTTCAAACTATGAATTCTGTTAAATCAAATAATCTATGTTTGAATTACAAAGGGTTTACACCATCAGATTGCAAAGATATAGGGATTAGAAAATTTGAATTTGAGGCAAAGACTCAATTAATTTGTTAAAATTTTGGTATTTCACGGGCTACATTTCCAAGATATGTATATATAATCAAATGTTTCTTAATAAAAAACTTTTCATAAGTATCTTCTCCTAGCTTTAGATTTACTCGTGGTTTTATTTTCAACCCACAACTTCAGAGAAGAAACTAAATATGGTTTCCCTGACTAGATTAAGAAGAGTAGATACTGTTGGAAGACGACCGTAAGGTGCTAGATCAAGCAGGGCAGCTCGATGGGTCAACATAGGTCGATCTTTTATACTTACAGGAGGGATACCAACATTCCTAGATAATGAATAGCAATTAAAAATTAAATATAATAGAAATTTATCACAAGATCAAAAGATCACACTATCACAAGCCATCACAAGCCATAAAAGCCATCACAAGCCATCACAAGCCATCAGTAACTCAGTGACTCAGTAACTCAGTGGCTCAGTGGCTCAGTCGCTCTGTGGCTCAGTCGCTCAATCGATCAGTGACTCAGTCACTCAGTGACTCACTCACTCAGTCACTTACCTGAACAACTGAAGAATTTGTAAAAATGTTGAAACTGCATATTGAACACCAGTTACTCCACCTCCTATCATTTTAATTTTCTTTTCAGTCAGAACTAGAAAATATGGATTCAAAATCTTTTAATTTTTTTTTTAGAAGCAACCAGAAAAATGTCAAAAAATGTCAAATGCAATTGAATTTATATTATATAGCTGTTAAATCCATAGTCCCTAAAGTAAAATCCTGTTCTCCCAGGCTAGAGTTGACCGCCAACTGTATTTCGCCAGGCCCTGCACTGCTCTGCCCAGAAAGGTCAAATCTCTAAAAGAATACTTTAAATTCTTTATAATTTCCAGAACAGATGTTACTCTGATCAACTTGAATTCAGTAAAAATTCAGAAAATAGTGCCATCTTTAATGACCCCCTCCCCCCCCCATTGATGAATAGTTACTTTACCTTGACACTGGCCGAGTACCCTAGCCCCTCCAGATCTTCTCTGAACAGATCCCAGACATCTAGCAGTTGATGGGCAGATATCCTTTATCAAAACAAGCTCAAGCAGTTTATAGGTCAATACTTTGTATCCTAAATCCAAGTGCTTAGGATCCATTTAATTTTGATGCGGATCCGGATCCGCACTTGAAAAAAAGGATCTAGATCCTGATCCAGGTCCTCATTTAAGGTAAAGCCTGGTGCGTAAAATTTTAATATAAAATATCATGAAAAATTAACTTGTTTCCTGTTATTTGACTGGGATTCAACTACTAGATATAAATGCTTCGGTATTTCAACATCTGCTCCTGCCAGCTGCTCAACGACCTACAAAACATTAATTTCTTTTAGTTAGCTTTTAAGGATCAACTTTGGGTCGGAGCTGGAAACTCTTTATGCTGGATGCCCATATCCCGTTCCCTTTATTTGGTTATCCACTATAAACACTTTTGATTGTTTACTTAATCGTCTGTACTTGATATCCCTGCTGTATTTCGACCAAAATTTACCGGATTCTGACTATTTGTTTGGTTGCACCAAACAACAAACTGATTGGTTGATTTTTAGACAGTTTCCTGAATATCAAATAAAGATTAAAATAATCTGCAGATTACAAAAAAGGATTAAGCATTGATCTCGATATCCTAAATGCAAGAGTTTCAAGCTTAAGTTTAGTAGTGTTCAGTGATTAACATTATAAATATGTATTAGAAGTTTCTAGGTTCTTTATTGGGTAGTTCAGGAAGAATAAAATATACAATATTCAGGGAAAAAATTATATGTGGGAGGGGGGAATGTTTTTTAAAGAAAATATGAACCCCTGTATAATATCTTTCTACCTGAGGGGTGGGCCACAATAAACCAAACCGTCTATCCAGAGCCAACTTTAATGACTTGCTTTTTAATTCTTGAGAAGTAATTGTAGAAATTTCTTCAAGTCCAGCTTTTTCTTTCTTTGTATCTATGTTCTTGTCTTCATCTAATTTTTCAACATTTCCCCCAGGTTCCTCGGTTACATTGGTTTCTTTTTTTAGACTTTGATCTCGTAACATTGTTGAAATTTCTTCCTGTAAATAAATCACTTTTAGCTAATTTTATCATTTTATCATTTTATCTCTTGTTTCTTGTTAATAAATAAATAATTTTATAAAAATAATATGCTGTACATTAAGAAAAAATCTGTTTTAACATTTGAAGTAGAAAAATATTTTATAACTTGAAAAAAGTTAACCTTTCCCTCCGCCAGATCCAGGGCAGATTTCTCAGCATATTTTCCACTTAAAATAACAGAGTTCACATCACTTCCTAAAAAATATGGAAAAAAATCTAAAATTCATTAAAGTTTAAGTAAAATTTACAATTTACTTTAATATTTATGAACTTAAATTCATTATTATCTAAACAACCCTATACCTGAATCTAGAAGTAACTGGACAACCCAATACCTGAATCTATAAGTAACTGAACAACCCTATACCTAATTCTAGAAGTAAATGAATAACCCAATACCTGAATCTAGAAGTAACTGAACAACCCTTTACCTGAATCCAGAAGTAAATGAATAACCCAATACCTGAATCTAGAAGTAACTGGACAACCCAATACCTGAATCTATAAGTAAATGAATAACCCTATACCTGAATCTAGAAGTAACTGGACAACCCAATACCTGAATCTAGAAGTAACTGAACAACCCTGTACCTGAATCTAGAAGTAGCTGAACAACCTTATACCTGAATCTAGAAGTAACTGAACAACCCTAAACTTGAATCTAGAAGTAACTGAACAACCCAATACCTGAATCTAGAAGTAACTGAACAACCCGATACCTGAATCTAGAAGTAACTGGACAACCCAATACCTGAATCGAGAAGTAACTGAACAACTCTATACCTGAATCTAGAGGTAGCTGAACAATCTGATCCCTGAATCTAGAAGTTGCTGAACAACCCTATACCTGAATCTAGAAGTAACTGAACAACCCTAGGATCTGCTCGAAGAACAGCGTCATGTAAAGGTGTGGCTCCCTCGCTATTTAAAGCATTAACCTAAAAATTAAATCTCTATGCATAAAGTTTATATTAGAAAATATAAAAACTACTTCAAACCACTATAATAGAGAAACTCCAGTTGGAAATAATCAGTTTTCAAGGTTATAAACATGGCTACCTAAATCATTCTTGATAAGATAAAGATATCAAGGGTTCCGTTGTGAATCGGATATTCTCCTTTTTAAATGAAGGGTCACTTGAAATTACGACCATAGTCCCTTTAAGGAAGAAGTTGAACTAGTTGNGATAGTCCCTTTAAATGAAGGGTCGCATGAAATTACGACGATAGTCCCTTTAAATGAAGGGTCACTTGAAATTACGACGATAGTCCCTTTAAATGAAGGGTTACTTGAAATTACGACGATAGTCCCTTTAAGGAAGAAGTTGAACCAGTTGCTCATAGAATAACTGCTTGACACTTTTCATAAATTTCCATCTCTAATCCCCTGTAGATGGTTTACCTGAGCACCCCTGGCTAGAAGAAGGCTAATTGTATCTGGAGATCCAAAGCTGGCTGCCCAGTGTAAGCAAGAATTTCTAAACACAATGGAGTTTATTCTATCAGGGATGTAGTTTTTAAGAATTACCCCCCCCCCCCCTCACCCTGGGTTGGTTGGGAAATCATCTTTTAATATCTAAGGGGGGAGGATGAAAAATTGGACATCAAAAGGCAAGTTTTTAGGTCCTCTTTGTCAATTTTATCCAAATGTTTTTTTTTCTCCAACTCCCAAAGATTTAAAACTTTTTGCAAGACGGGTCTATAATTTCCTTCATAACATAAATTTCTTTTTCATTAAATTATACAGAAAATATATGCAAAAAACAAACGTTTTTCCATATTTTTAATACAAATACTGCACAGTTTGATAAAGGCAGACTTTAACAGAAAGAATGTAGTTTTAAAATCTTTGAAGTTTTAACAAAAGTTTTTAAAAAAACTAACCAATACGATGAAAAACACTAATGATAGTTTCATACTTTGTTTTGTCTGAGTCTACAACATCAAGTGAGATGCCAGAGTTTAGCAGGATAATTATTCTGTCTGTAGCTGACCCAGCAATATTCCGAAACAAATCTTCAGTAAAAACCTGAACAAATAAGGCATTTTTAATGCTAATCCATATAAAGTGTATCAATCTCATGACTGTTTGTTTATAGATCAAGATTAAGATTTTTCTGCTTTTAAACAATTAGTAGAATTTTAAAATTTTCCAAGATTTTATTATCTAGAACTTCAATATTTAAAATTTTACCATTTAAAAGAGAAAATTAAATCTTAGATGAAATGAAACTTTTCGGATAAACTTTGTATTTAAAAATAGATTTTGAAATCATTATTAAGCAACTAACAAGTTTTCTTTTCTCATTCTCATGTGGAGAATCAGAACTAGATGAGTTACAAAATCAAGTCGTTCCCGTCATTTAAAAAAAGCAATACCATAGAAGGTCTTAAACCTATGGCAGGGAGGGGAAGGATGTATCATCTCCAGAATCTAGAACAGAAACCTCCATAATGTTTAGTATACCTGGAGAAGGAAGGGGAAGGATGTATCAACTATAGAATCTAGAACAGTAACCTCCATAATGTTTAATATACCTGGAGAAGGGAGGGGAAGGATGTATCATCTACAGAATTTAGAACAGAAACCTCCATACTGTTTAATATACCTGGAGAAGGAAGGGGAAGGATGTATCATCTACATAATCCAGGACAGTAACCTCCATAATGTTTAATATACCTGGAGAAGGGAGGGGAAGGATGTATCATCTATAGAATCTAGAACAGTAACCTCGATAATGTTTAATATACCTGGAGAAGGGAGGGGAAGGATGTATCATCTAAATAATCTAGGACAGAAACCCAATTTCTGTTAACTATAACTGGATAAGAGGGTGGAAGGAGGTATCATCTATAGAATCTAGAACAGAAACCCCATTACTGTTCAATATACCTGGAGAAGGGAGGGGAAGGAGGTATCATCTATAGAATCTAGGACAGAAACCCCATTACTGTTCAATATACCAGGATCAGAACCTAGATATTACGGGCTGGAATAAAGAGATTACAAGTCCGTTTTTGTTAAGTGATTGATATTGTATGATTGCTTGATATTTGACTCAGGTTTCATTTCAGAAAATGCATGATTAGTTTGAGAATCTAGTGAGATCAGTTTCATCTTTATATACCCCAGCTTGGGTATGATTTTGTGATTATGTTGAAGACAATCAGTTTATGGTTCAAATGCCGCGTATTTTTGCGTTATTTTCACAAGTAGAATTGATATTTTGAGTTCGGATATTTTGATATTTTTATGATGTAAAAGTGTTAAGTTTTATGAGGGTAATGTTGATCCTCTCTACTGCCCATCCACTATACTGCACATCCGACCTACGACGGGCTAGGGGACCGAGCGCCGCGGCTAGGACAGACAGAGGGCCGGGCACCGCGGTCCAAAAATCCATCTAGCAGCTGTAAAACCACGTGCCAGTAGGTCGGATGGACAGTAGGATGGGTGGGCTTAGGTCTAGAAAAAAACACCATCTTCATGAGATTACAGTTCGTATATTTTGTCTAGTTTTGACCCCGAAATTGTGAGCTTTTGCAGACTAGTATATGCGAGTATTTTCAAGTCTGTAGTTCCAAGGGTAGAAGACCGAGAAGACCTGGAGTTCAAGATTGAAAGGTAGATTCTACGTTGTTTTTTGCAAAGTAAGATTTATATGAATGTTTACGGATCGTATTGTCTAGAATGATTCAACACGACTGTAAGAATCTTTTTTAGTATTTTTTATTACTTTCCTGATTCCCTACAACTCATGTTTTTTTCTTGCCAGATCTTTAAATTTAAAAATTTTACCAAGTTCAAAATTCAAACATCTACTCGACACAACTTCCAATAGTTTCAGGTTGCTTTTATGTGAACACTACTTCTTAAAACTTATATTGTCCGAAAAAAAATTGAAAATTACAAATATGACTATTTGTAAACAAAATACTGTTTAAAATTGCTTTTTGTTGCAATTTTCTTTATGTCTGAACGGTTTGTGAGAACGATGACAATAACAACAGGAATTATGCTACATTAATAAATCTCGGGACGAAGTAAGACTATTTATCAAAATATGAAAATTTCATCATTGGGAATTAAGAGATATTTAATATATGTAACTTATGTAAACTATTTACCTAAATAGTTTATCTACTAAATATATAAATATATGATAAAAGTACAAACCTGCCATAAGTAAAGCCCTCACAGCATCTGAACTTCCAATTCTGATAATTTCAACCAAACAAAAAATTTTAAATAATGAAAAATTATAAATATTCAGTTTCGAATGAGCTTCTATTATAAGAGTGGAATGGCCAAATCACAAAAACTCGTATACTGGGACGGACCTAAATGTATTCACAATTTTTTTTATTAAAAAACTTATAATATGATATTATTCCTGACAGCTTTGTGTAAAATAGTGCCTTCCTGACAACAATCATTGGATAGAACTTCCAGAAGGAAATCGGTGCCCTTATTATTCGTCACGTGATCAATTATAGATTTAATAATATCTATTCTACCCGCCTCCAAACCCTCCAATATACTCTCACAAGCCTCCGATACTGACATCACTTTACTTGAGGCATGTATCTGAAAATGTTTGTACATTGTCTAATATACGCAAATCGGATTTGATGACTCACACAACCCCATGAAAGGTATGTAGCTGGCAAGGGCGTATTCAGGAATTTGACCGTGGAGGGGGGGGAGGCTTAAATTTGTTAGTCTTTCTATGGGGGAGGGGGGCAACCCACTTTGAGGCAAAAAAACCTGAAAACCATGGATTTTACTAATCCAGGGGGGGCTGAGCCCCAAGCCCTGAGTTCTAGGACAGAACACATAGGGTAACACACAAAGTACATAATTGTAAAAGATAAATAAACAATAACATGAAAGCCAAATATCATGAAATTTTAATGAGGGGGGGGGCTATACCCCCCGATAACGATAATCTAGATTTACAGTTGCGTAGGATATTGTGTATTTTTCATTGCCAAAAAGCTTCGCCAATTTTAAAACAACTTCAGTTGTGTATTCTAGAAATCATAAAAATAATTCGTAATTTTTAAATGCCGAACTTTGAAATATGTTGGGTTTAAACTATTTACTGTCAATCAGACTGCTCTATAGAGCAAGCGCTTCAGTCGTTTGTTAGACAAGGCTTTGAAATTATAAACTTATAATACACCTTGCTATGTTCCTTTACCTAGACCTGATGGTGAAAGTTAGTTCATTTTGTATCAGTATATTGTAGAATTAAGTCAAGTAATGAGTACACGTCTGCAAAAATTTTACGGCTTGTTTTGACAAAATTCGCGGCAAATACTGGATCTCGCGCACTAGAGAGGGGTAAATTATTTCTACGCAGTTATTTAAACTATTATCCTAGACTCTACAAAATATATCAAATAATGTATTAGGAATGAAGTTATAAGAACCCCAAAAAATGGAAGGTAAGGTTAAGGTAGTTTATTTATGCTTAAGTTTCTTGAACCGCCCCCCCCAATATAGAAATGTTTAGTGTGGGGGAGGGGGGAATAAAATATTTCCCCCTTGCCCCCCCCTTGCTGAATGTCTAGTTGTTCGCCTGTTTGGAAGAAGCTGTTTTACGCAAAGTCAAATATCTGACTTAAATTCATTAATAAACTAAACTATAATGTGTGATAAGTTAAAAATCTAGTTTTTTAGTCTTTATATATAGTCATTATAGTTTGATCCTTTTTGAGTTTTTAAGTAAAAAAAATTTTCACATGCGGCGNTCATTATCCAATTCCCCCCGTCTTTACAAATTCCTAGCTACGGGCCTATAAATGAGTATAGTTTTAAAAACAACATTATTTCTATTTCTTGCTGAATGTTGCCTTAATTTTCAACACTTTTATGGGTCTCACTGTAAAAGCAGGGGCGTACTGGGGGAGGGGGTGACAACCCTGTGTACCCCCTTGATAAACCCCCACCCCCTTCGGAAAATATGGCTGCTTTGCCAACTTTTAATTTTGTGTTGCAAGTAATCAGAATGCCTTAAGGGCAAGGGCATTAATCATGCATTTCCATTCGGGGTGCTTTGGGCAGGCAGTCAAATTATTTTCATAGCTTATATTTTTTCCAACTTATTTCCAAATTCCAAACTATCAAAGCGCTCTGGAGATGTTTGGAAAATATGAGCTAGCCAGATATAGTGTTCTAAAAATATATTCGAAGTTCGAGAGAATCAAAATTATTTTTCTCGCTCACAATCCGGGTGTATACAGGGGGGGGCAAGGGGTACTGCCCCAGTAGTCCTGTAAAAGTGGGACGCCCCCCCCCCCTAGAACTCAGAGCTTTCACACTTTTTAAATCTTAAACTGAAGAGTGAAGAACATAAAAAAATTAGTTTGCTGTTCATTCAATGCACAAAGAAGATTGTATACGTGAACCAGAGCCACCATGACAGAAGTCCGAATGAAAAATCTATCTAGAATGCACATTCATATCCTAATTTCGGATGGGCGCTATCATGAGGGAAAGCGAAGTAAAACAATTATTTGTAAATGCCAAGCCACAAAGCCTTGAGTTTGGAGGTATGTAAAAAACCTTTTTATTTGCATTATTCATTGCACGGTTGCACCGCTGTTTTGTAATCTTTATTTTTATTACAAACTAGCTGAATTGCCCGGCGCGGCCCATGGAATTTAAAAAATCGATTTAAAACATACAAACTATAATATATTTAGCTTGTGATCCCAACGGGTACCCATGAGTCTCCTCACTAAAATTCAGCCCATTTGATTCAGTCGTTATTAATCGTTTGGCCAGCCATATCAAAAATATAATTATAAATGAACGAAAAGCTTTAATTATATGGATTACAATTGTACTCCTACTTTTTNACGAAGTCCACGCTGTTTTGCAATTTAGCGATTCATGAATCCTGATCCTGAGCAAATTTAAGAGCTCTTATCGTAAAATAAAAAAAAATGATAATTGAACGTTAGTTTACTGAGCTTATAGTTCAATCGATATAGCACTTAATACACCATATACACACAAACAGACCAGACCCCCTTCGTCTCTGAGCCTAACTACTGCGGACTGCAGTAGATCAGAACAGGTTGATAAGGTTCCAAGGTGCCTTAATCTTTGTTTTTTTCATTATGCTGTTTTTTCCTGGGAAAGGGAAATGGGGTTTATTAAGTATTTTTTAGATATTTTCACTATCAGTTCTGCCACTTATTAAATGATATTGCTTTAATACTGTAGTACAACTATTACATTAATCCTACATGTTCACCGCAAATATTCTGTGATGTGTCATATTAAAAAAACTATTTTTCATGTAAAAACATGAATTTTTAATGAAAGGCATTTCTTGTCAGTTTCTGAGTACAATGTACATATTTGATTTGTGGATAACTAATGAAAAATTATAAATTCACTACGAAATCACTATAGACATTATAAACACATCTTTGCAGTGTTTTACCCTTTTCATAAAATAAACTCTAGCAGACATAATAATATTATGGCTTTTGAAATTAGGATTACAATGCTAATTCATAACAAAGACGATATCGAATTCGTCACTGCATTCCCATGTTTTTTGGGACATCCTGAACCAGAATAGATTTCTTTTTTTATTTCATATCAGATGTGTTGACTTACTGAATATCCGGTTGGTAAAGTTAGTTTTTTATTGTTTAAGTATAACACACATGTTTCTTGCCCCCCCCCCTAAAAATGTTTAGGGGGGGGCCAAAAAAATATTTCCCCCTAGCCCCCCCCTAACCAAATGTCTAGTTGCGCGCCTGATAATAGAACTAAATGCGTATTTAATATATATGTCACTTAATAAGTTTTCACTGATAATGTTTTAACATTGCTTTCTTTGTCTAACATTGTGTTAAAATTTTCGGTTTACGAAATGGTAACTGGAAATTTTACAGTTTCATTTCCGTAAACCAGAGATTTTTGCGTAACGTAAACCGTAAACATTCTGATTTCCATTTGATTCGGAATTATCCTGGAATTCCGATTTAGGCAAAAAAATTTCCGGATCATTGCATTTCCAAAATGGAAATTTAGTTCTGGAAAAATGGAAACCCTTATAGTTAATAAAGAGTTTACAACTGTTTTTTTTTTCTTAATACCAGTATTTTAGAGCGGGTTAACAACGACTGCTAGGGAGGTGAACTTAAGCACACCAAAGTTCACCCCCTTAGGCGAAACCTCTATAAGTACGCCCCTATCTTTTTAAATCTTAAACTGAAGAGTGAAGAACATAAAAAATTAGTTTGCTGTTCATTCAATGCACAAAGAAGATTGTATACGTGAACCAGAGCCACCATGACAGAAGTCCGAATGAAAAATCTATCTAGAATGCACATTCATATCCTAATTTCGGATGGGTGCTGTCATGAGGGAAAGCGAAGTAAAACAATTATTTGTAAATGCCAAGCCACAAAGGCTTGAGTTTGGAGGTATGTAAAAAACCTTTTTATTTGCTTTATTCATTGCACGGTTGCACCGCCGTTTTGTAATCTTTCTTTTTATTACAAACTAGCTGAATTGCCCGGCGCGGCCCATGGAATTTAAAAAACCGATTTAAAACAAACAAACTATAATATATTTAGCTTGCCATCCCAACGGGTACCCATGAGTCTCCTCACTAAAATTCAGCCCATTTGATTCAGTCGCTATACTCGTTTGGCCAGCCATAGCAATTATATAATTATAAATGAACGAAAAGCTTTAATTATATAGATTACAATTGTACAATTGCTTTTTTTTCACGACAGAAACTTTTACATAATTACTTTCTGGACGTTTGTCCTTTTTTACATCTCATAGAACTTAAGTTTAAGGTGAGTTTTTCATTTTCAAAAATGTCTTACTATCTCTATAGTTTATAAATACTAATCATTACAACATTACAGTATAAAAAATGTCGAGTTTTTAGAAACAATGTTTTTTTTTCTGCTAGTTTTGTTTGAAGGAGGGATAAAGTAGAGTACTTACAAGGTAATTGGACTGTATGTATATGTTTATACCTTTAAAGTATCTATAATTATGCCTGACATCCAAGAAGAACCCAAATGTTTTGAATTTTCAGTTAAAATTTACGAAATGGAAACTGGAAATTTTACAGTTTCCTTTCCGTAAACCAGAGATTTTTCCGTAACGTAAACCGTAAACATTCTAATTTCCATTTGATCCGGAATTATCCTGGAATTCCGGTTTACGCAAAAAAAATTCCGGATCATTGCATTTCCAATATGGAAATTTTGTTCTGGATAAATGGAAACCCTTATAGTTAATAAAGAGTTTAAAACTGTTTTTTTTCTTAATACCAGTATTTTAGAGAGTCAGTGAAGTTCGTAGTAAGATTTTGACTCCACTGGAGACCACCGGAGGGAATTCTTTTTCACTGGAGGGGTTTGAAAAAATTCTTTTTATAATTCAAAACTTTACACAGGGTGATTTACATTCCACTGGAGGGATTCAGATGGCCTTCCTGTGGGGTTATAATTCCACCCTGCGTAAAGTTTTAATTGTAAAAGGCATTTTTTGTAACCCCTCCAGTGAAAATAAAATTCCTTCGGTGGTCTCCAGTAGAATCGAAATCTTACTACGAACTTCTTTGAGTCTATTTTAGAGCGGGTTAACAACGACCGCTAGGGAGGTGAACTTAAGCACACCAAAGTTCACCCCCTTAGGCGAAACCTCTATAAGTACGCCCCTAGGCTAAACCTCTATAAGTACGCCCGTGTGTAAAGGAAATTTCAAAGATAATATATTTTTAAGGTAAAGATGTATAACAAAGGACATTTCACATAAGAAAGAGACAATTCATAAAAAGCATTACATGCACTAAAGGTTGTTAAAAAAAAAACACTTTAAAACATATTTTTTTCTGACTTTTTATTTCAAACCAGTTCAGATTTATTTCCCCCCTCCCCCCCCTTACATTTTTTAAATGTATCAATTAATTGTTAATGATATATTTGTATCACACTGAGCAGGGTTAAAATAGCTCGACTTGCTAGAGGTCAGAACTCTGTTTTGCGAACCAATTGGGATCAAGCATTGATCTTCATTTTGTTAAGATCTACACGAATTAATTTAATTCCTCTTAGATATTCCGCGGTGATCTTACCCTGCAGAGATTACCAAAACGATGGAATTAAACACTTATCTTTCCAACAAAAGGATGTTACAGTGGATATCGAGATCAAACAATGCCTGCAGA